TCTCAATACACAGCAAGGACACTTAAGGCCATTGCACACTGAGTCCGAAATTTTCGTATGCGCTTTTTCGTGTTCGTCAGCCTAAAAATTCGTCACGCACAGAAACCTTGCACACTGAGTCCGATGCGTATTTATTAAACCTTTGCGGAAAAAAACGCACAAAAATACAAAATGGATTCGTCAAGCAGTAAGGATGAAAATTTTGGGTCCATCCAATCCTGAAATTGCGCCGAGAGGAAGGAGAGTTCCACTTCCTTATCAAGGAGTTGCGAATTTATCCCGAGCGATTCAAAATTTACTTCAGAATGTCAGTGGAACAGTTTGATGCTTTGCTAGCGATTCTGGAGCCACATTTTAAAAAGAATACCACCAATTTCTGTGAACCAATCGATCCTGAACAGAGACTGGCAGTAGCCTATGTCTAAGCAGGTATGGACACACACACGCGCGCGCACCCCGGTGAAAGCATGTGCGTGTGTGTGTGCGCGCGCGTGTGTGTGTCCATACCTGGTTAGTTTGCTTTTGGTATATATATATTTTTTTTTTCTAGTTTTGTTAGGATATTCATTTGTCATTGGTTGCTTAACTGAATGTTCTGATTAGGGATGGGACGATACACTTAAACTCACGATACGATGCACCTCGATTTGCCAGGTTCACGATACGATACATCAAAATATTACTGTATGACAACAACTTATTTATTTTTGTTTCAGCTGCACACAGGGAAACACAAGGCCTAACTGGCCAAACACAAACAAGAACACTCCCTTAGTGCTGCTCTAATCCTAGGTTAAGTTATCTCAGGACTGGTTCTTCAAAAAAACTAACATATCAACATGTTCTGGTGTAATCAGTGATCTTTGAGCAGACACAATGTCTCCTGCTGTGGAAAAGACACGCTCACTGGGCACTGATGTAGCATACCGTAAAAGTTCAAATAATAGCCGAGTCCCAAATAGACGCCTGTCTCTTTTACACGCCTGGTGTGGCTGCAGGTTTGGGTAAATAAAGGCCGGTCTCAAATAGAGGCCGGGTCTGTTTTTTAGTTTCGGGTTGTATTTAACCTTCTAAAACCCGTCAGATCGTCCGCTTTTTGGCGGCCGCCAAAGCCATAGACTGTAAAAAGGCCAAAGCAAATGTGTGTCCCGCCAAAGCCTTTTTTGATCGGCGAGTGATGTAGAATTGACTGCTGCGCATGACAGGGCGCATAACGAGCAGAGAGAGAGAGAGAGAGAGAGAGAGAGAGAGAGAGAGAGAGAGAGAGAGAGAGAGAGAGAGAGAGAGAGAGAGAGAGAGAGAGAGAGAGAGAGAGAGAGAGAGAGAGAGAGAGAGAGAGAGAGAGAGAGAGAGAGAGAGAGAGAGAGAGAGAGAGAGAGAGCCCCAGCTGCGCGCGCGCACTCTCACGCCTTCAAACAAAACGAGCGCTGTCTTGCTCTCTCTCCCTCGCGCATATTAATCAAAATCAATTGACACGATAGTAAAAGGTCGGAAGACCGCAGTTTCACGTGGAGCATTTGGAGATTTTTAGAGATTAGAGACTCTAGGCCTACACTCAATGAACAACATCAACACTAAATTATAAAGGCCGGTCTCATATAGATGCCTGTCTCAAATACAAGCCAGTGCAGTTCGACGATTTGGGAAAATAAAAGGCCGGGCTATTATTTGAAGTTTTACGGTATATATATACATTTGACTCCATGGTCGGCTGTTTGGGGGCAAGGCAGTTGGTGCTAATGCTAATATTTGTTAGCTCGCTGTAGACTGCAGTGTTGTTGTTGCAACATGCACTGTCTTGACGTGATGACGTACCGCACCGTTCCCCGGATATAATTTTTTTTTTTCATTTAGTTTTACCCTGCTTGATCAGCAGATGGTGCTGCCAGCCTGCCACCATAGACTGTATGTCTGCCCCATATACATACACACACAAACACATATAATACACTAAATTATTTATATACTACGCAAATCATGCAGCAGTGCCATGTATCTTTATTTCGCGATCCATTTTTTTCGACCTCGATGCGTTTCGTCACATTTTGTATCGCGATATTTTGTCAAACGATATTTCGTCTAGGGCTGGTCCGAATACCATTTTTTGAGCTTCGAAGCCTCGGTAGTAATGAACATCGAATATTCGAAGCTTCGGAATCTTTATATGTCTGTCTGTCCGTTTGCATTTTGATTATTTCGAGAACCGTTCATCCAAACGACTTCACAAGAAGTGCAGTGCCGTATTTGGTGCAATATAGATAGACAGGCGAGACGCGACACGTTCAGAATTAATAAACTTTTATTAAACTACAGAACAGCGCAAGTGGGAAGCGCGTGCGCCTCACGCGAGCAGAGCTTATATGCCAAGAACGGACACTGCATTAGTGATATAAAACACACACACACACACACACACAGGTCTGTTAACTTAAATATTAGACTACCTTATTAAAAATATTGCTTAAGTTAACAGCCCTGTGTGTTTTATATCACTAGTGCGTGCAGTGTCCGTCCGTTCTCGGAGCATATAAGCCCTGCTCGCGTGAGGCGCGCCGCTTCTTTATTTAAATCTGTTCTGCGTTCTGCGCTCTAGCCAGAGAATACTCCCGCTGCAGGAACACTTTTAGTAGTCCAATAAGCAAATATATTTATTAAGTACCTATAACGAAGTTATATGTTAAGTATTATATTTCACCAGATTTTATAGTGTAAAAGATATTCAAGCGTGAATGAGAACCGTTTCGAGGGAGATGCCTCTCAAAATGCTGGCTGTGGATGCGAAAAACGCAAAAAAATCGAACCCGATCCGAATTTTTTTATGTCGGACGAAAGTTTCGGAGGTGGTGTGCAAGCGTGATTGACATGACTTGAGGTCGAATTTTTTTTTTAACGTGCGAAAATTTCGGATGCGAATTTCGGACTCAGTGTGCAATGGCCTTTACTCCAAACAAACACACATAATAAACATGTAGACTAGTAAACAAAAAAAAAACATACTACAAAAGATGAAAGTCAGGGTTTGGAGTCACCACTGAGTATCTATTAACCTCACTGACCTTCTACCACACATTTAGAACAACTAGAAAAAAATAAATATACCAAAGCAAACTAACCAAAAAAACAAATAATTTGAAAGACTAGTAGAAGACTAGACGCCCAGCGATCACGGTGACACGGTTGGGCATGACATGACTGCGAGCACATGTGAAGAGTTTTAACTCTAATCTGTCAATGGTTCCCATCCCTTTATGAATGCAAAACTCCATAGAGTAACTTTATTCCGACATTGTCTAATAATACAAATGTAGTTGTATAAGTTACTATACTATTATACAAACCAAAGGACAGGCAATGGTTTTCGGGCTATAATATACAGATATACAGAAATAATGTTTGTCTCATCTGTTTTTGTTGCAAAGATAGCTTATCTAATTATGATGATAATAATCATTTAAATGAAAAAAATATCTAAATAATATCATGATATATAGGCTATATATATATAGGCCTATGTGATCCAAAGTAACTAGTAACTAACTACTTGAGTAGTTTTTTCATTGGATACTTTTTTACTCTTACTCAAGTAACTTTTGAGATTATTACTTTTACTTTGAGTAAATATTTCTATAAGTACTTGTACTTCTACTTGAGTACAGTTTTTAGATACTCTACCCACCTTTTTTTTTTACAGTCTATATGGTGAACACCTCGTTTTTAATTTAAGACCCATTCAAACTAAAAGTAAGACATTTATTACACTATTTGAGAAATGTGAGCATATTTACGGCCTTAAAATTATGAAAAGTGAATTTAAGACATAAGGACATGTGGAACCCTGATATTGACGGAATTCCGTCGTAGACTCTCTCGGAGCGACGGATAACTTTATATATTATGAAGTGTATTACTATAGAATTACATAACGTTACATTATATATTAGTAGTGTGACCCTTTTCACCATAGGCTCGTGATGAGAAAATACATTATAGCCTACAGTCAGTGACATATAAGGTATTAAACCCTTTTAATCATAATGCTTGGTAAAATGGTGAAAGAGACATCCCATTGTATAATAAACCTGTCTAGGATACGATTCTCACTCTCTCTTCTAAACAATGAGTGACTGAAGAAATAATCTGGTTTTAAAACCCAGCAAATATTATCACAGATAATATTTATCTACACGAATACAGCTAGGGCATGTGATGGAAAAAACAACAAGAACGCAATAGCTCAGTTTCCTCCTTTGTATTATGGAGAAGAAAAAAAAATCACATAACCTTTGAACAACAAATATGAAAATAAACAGAAACAATATGAAAATACCCAAATAACAAGTCAATAGTCTATGATAACCTGAGTGCACTCTTTTAGTTTTGTTCTTTTAGCAGGCCTGCATTATTGGCGCGCTTACTGTTGGATCTCATAGAGTGAAAAAAACAACAACAATACCTCCTCGAGTAAAGTGAAAGACAGATCCTATCGCGTCTGTAACTTTCTCTCTCATCAAGCGACGCCGTCTGCGGCGGCAGAGCGAGGGTTAAACAGCTTCGTCCGTCCAGCACTCATAACCAAACGGTCTCCGGTGAAGGAAAACACCTGCATCAGCCAGCGAAAACTCTTCCCGATGTAGTCTCCTCTCATGCAGCAATCGAGCGACGTGTCTGCGGTCCTTCCCACGACGATGTCACAATACTTCAAAACCACGAGCTAAATTAGCCAGAGAGGCTAACAGATCTAAGCTCGCTCCCTACGGTGGCCGAGACAGCTCAACGCGCTGCAACTTCTTCTTCTTCTTCTTCTTCTTTGGGCTTATTGGCGGTTCGCATTCTTAAAAAGAGCATTACCGCCATCTACTGTAGGTAATAGATCAGAGACAATATCACAACTCCCAGAACAATCAGGACTCGTGCTTTCAATGTTGCTGCGTGTTCAGCTCCTCCATCTACAGCCAAAGTCCCTCATCTTCCAGAGCGGGATACTGATAGGCTACTATCCTTCTGCCCTTTTAAGTTTACCCAGTATGCCAGTATCAATTGCTTCCTTCTTAAGTGAATTGGCATCTCCCCCATCTCCACCTGTAAAGCTGAAACAGGAGAGGAAGATAAGCTCCACAACATATTCTCAAAGCTCGTGATTGAATTCGTTCTAATTTTCCTAACTGTGACTTAGTTGCTGTTCCATATGCGATACAACCATAATCTAATACTGCTCTTATCATTGTTGAATAAATTGTTTTTAATGCCACCCTATCAGCTCCCCATTCTCGTCCTGAAATACACCTCATTACATTTCAAATCTTCTTACATTTATCCTCCATCTTATTTATGTGTACATTCCATGTAACCTTTGCATCAAACCACATACCTAAAAATCTTATCACTTTAACTTGTTCTATCTCTTTGTTGTATAAATTAATCTTAAGATCTATACTTGACCTTTTATTTGTAAAAAATATATATATTTGGTTTTCTCCACTGAGAATTTAAAACCCCATTTGTAAGACCATTCCTCAACATTTTTTAAAACTGCTTGCATTTTATTAACAATATACTCTACATTCCTACCTCTAAGCCACAGAGCTCCATCATCCGCGAACAGCGATTTATTTACATTCTTATCTATTGTTGCAAATACATCATTAATCATAATAATAAACAACAAAGGACTTATAACACTACCCTGAGGAGTTCCATTCTCAATTAGCTATTCCTTTCCTTGATATATATTCTCCAATCTTCACTTTAATATTCCTTTCAATTAAAAACTCTTTAATCCAATTATATAATTTTCCTTCTATTCCAATTTGATCTAACTTTATCAACAAACCCTCCTTCCAGAACATAAGCTTTTTCTACATCAAAGAAAACCGCTATTAGAGTTTCTTTATTTATCAATGCTTTCCTTATATCTGATTCCAATTTAACAATTGAGTCCATTGTACTCTTTCCATGTCTAAAACCATTTTGATATGGGGAAAAAACATTATTCTTCTCCATATGATACATTAAACGATCTGTAATCATTTTTTCCATAACTTTACCTAGATGTGATGTTAATGCTATCGGTCTGTAGTTTAAAGGGATACTTGGATCTTTACCTGGTTTTTTAATGGGAATTATTACTGCTTCTTTCCATCTCTTAGGTAAAGTCCCTTCTTCCCATACGCTGTTATAAAACTCTAGAATAATTTTATGAGATTCATCACTTAACTTTTTTAACATTACATAACTAATTCCATCCTGTCCAGGAGTTGAATCTTTAGTGTTTTTTAATGCCCTCTTTAATTCTGAATATGAAAAAGGCACATCTAGAAAACTATTTGTTACTCTCTTTTTTCCTAAAATAAATGGATGTTCTTTTAACAACTTCTCCCTCATTTCCTTGCACTCCTTCATCAAATTGTCTGAACTATTTATTTTTGAGAATTCTTTTCTAAACATTTCTGCTTTTTCCTCATCACTTATTGCTTTATTCCCCAATACATAACACAGGGTACTCATATTCTCTTGGAATGCCACTCATCTTTTTAATCATACTCCACACTTCCTCAATTGGAGTATTTTTCCCAATTTCTTCACAGTATGATCTCCAATACTTTTTCTTCACTTCCCTTATTGTTCTTCTAGTTTCTGCTTGAGCCTTTTTATATATTATCATGTTTTCCCAATTATGAGTTTTCCTTAGAATTTTAAGTGCTTTCCTTTTCCTTTTAACTGCTATTGCACACTCCTCATTCCACCATGGAACTATTTTCCCCACCCTCTTTCCATTGCTTTTTGGAATGCATTCTCTAGCAGCATTCTGTATCACTGATATTAATTCTGTATATATTCTTTCAATTATTATTCTTTCATTCATCTTGATCATTTTTAATCCTTCCTCACATATTCTTTCGAATTTTTCCCAATCTGCTTTCTCATACTTCCATTTTCCTGTATTTCCTTTCTTTATCTTCCCTATCTCATTATTTACAATTGAACTTAATATTGGGAAATGATCACTACCCGCTGTACAATTTAATACCTCCCAATTTATTATTCCCCCTAATGCATTAGAAACAATTGTTAGATCTATTGCAGATTCCCTCCCTGAATTTACATCCATTCGAGTTTTTGTTCCATCATTTATACAGACCAAATTGTTCTTTTCCATCACCTCTTCAATGACCATACCATTTGCATCTGTCGATAAACCTCCCCATAAAGTATTATGGGCATTAAAATCCCCACACCATATTACTCTACTTCCTCTTAATCCCTTTATTGCTTCCATACTTTCTTGTGTTAATCTTTTACACGGATTATAAAAGTTTATTATAACATAACTTTTATTTCCAAACCATATTTCTACAACTATATATTCCATTGTTTCCCCTTTTTCCAAAACTCTATAAGGCATTCCCTCTTTTACAAAATTCACACATCCTCCTCCTTTTCCTTCTTCCCGATCTCTTCTCACACTTATGTATCCTTTTAAAACAAATTCTAGTCTAGGATTCAACCATGATTCTTGAATACATATTACATCTGGCTTATCTTTCATTTGATTTATATATCCTTTATAAAACGGTTAGTTACAATCCTTGATTCTGATTGGTCAATAGCTGTGCTTTATTCACGATAAAACACGGCTATGACCGCTTCACCCAACGGTTCTATTTATCACTGCGCCCTTAGCAACACCCTTAGCAACCACACGTATCAACATAAACAGACAAAAAACGTAAGAATTAAAAAGGCTAAAATGTTTAAAGTAAATTTCGATTTATTAGGTGGCATGACGATGGATAAGTGGTTTGAGGAACAATTTGTAGAGACTTCTACAAATATGAACCGTCATGCTGAAGTGCTGAAATGTAACATTGATACATTCGAGAAGACTCGTAATGAAAAAAATACCGTGCAGCAAACCCAATGGGCAGTGAAATGCTTCGGTGACTGGTGTAGTGAAAAGGGTTGCAGCATTGATTTTAAACAAATCACCAAGACGGAACTCAACGCACTTCTCCGTGACTTCTACGGAACTGTCAGAAGCTCCAAAGGCGAAAAATATGGGATCAGTAGCTATGTAGCGTTACGTGCGGGTGTGAACAGATTCCTGAATGATCCACCTTTGAGTTTGTCCTGGTGTCTGATGAGAGACAGCGAATTCACCTCATCCAATAATGTTTTCGTTGGAGTCGTAAAGACAATGAGAAGAGAGGGTCGTGATAAAACGGAGCATCACACATCGATTTCTACGAAAGATTTCAGCACCATAAAACTGTCCGATGCGCTTAATCCTAACACACCTGAAGGACTCGTTAACAAAGTCTGGTTTGACGTGCAGTTACACTTCGGACGTAGAGGAAAAGAGGGGAACCGAGAACTCATTCCAGACTCATTCCGCATTTTAACAAACGAAAATGGTGTAAAGTATGTCACAATGAGCTTCAATGAAGACACAAAAAACCATAAGGACCCACATGACAGAAATAAGGAGAGCAGGCGTGGCTTCATGTTCCAACAAACTGGGAACCCGCTTTGTCCCGTTGCCTCTCTAGAGAAGTACGTTTCTCTTCTGCCATCTAACCCCCCTGCTTTTTACCTTCACCCCAAAAAGCAAAACCTCTCTAAATGTGTTTGGTACGTAGATCACGCAGCGGCACATAAATCATATTAGCTATTTATAATTTGTGTTAAATCTTGTTGTGTTAAAGTTTTTTCTCGTTTTTGACTGTTGCAGGTACACAAGAGAGCCTATGGGTGTGAACTACCTCGCAACAATGTTGCAGAGAATTTGTAAAGCAGCATGCACCTCAAAGGTTTACACAAATCACTGCCTTCGCAGCACCATGGTGCAGAGATTGTCCGATGCTGGTCTCGAATCGAGGGAAATTATGTCTGTGAGTGGACATAAGTGTGAAAGTTCACTACAGAGCTACTGGAGGCCAAACTTAAAACAAAGAAAGCACTGGAGCGACATTCTTGCTGCAACAGAAAACACTGCTGACAGTGCTGAGCCCCAACTAAAGAGAACCGCGTTAAATATCACCACAGTGGAGCCGATTGAAATGAGACAAATATTTAATGCGTGCACAATTAACGGAGATGTTCAAATAAATTTAAATAAACAACAATAAAAAATTATCTCTTGTTAGGCAGCATTTTAATAACTGAATTGATAACATTAATAAAATAGATTAAAGACCTAACTGTTATCTATCAAAATATGTGCCCTTGTGTTTTTATTTATAGGCTATGTAAATATTTAGTTTAGTGCAGAGAAAAAATAACGGAATAAACAAAAAAGTAAACGTTTTCTCATGCTGAGAGATAAGCTATGCCTATTTGTGTGAGGAAATTTCACAAATATTGTGTTGTAAAAAATAAAAAGAATGAGACAAGTTTGAGAACGGTTTGTTGTTTTTATTTGAGCTTTCATGCATATTACACATTGGAACGTTGTTGTTCACGGTCAGGGACTATTTTTTTTCTAGCGGAAGGAATGCTTTTAATGCTTTTATTGATTTAACTTCCATGAAATTTCCACTAATAATTTTTTTTTTCTTTAATATTGTGTGGTAACCGTTTTATAAAAGCAATAAGGTACTCGAGGCAAGTGCTGTATCGTGAATAAGTAACGGCTGAAGGGGTTGCAGGCACTCCGCTTCGCGTCGTGCCTAACAACGCCCTTCAGCCGTTACTTATTCACGATACAGCACAGCCTCTCGTACCTTATTGCTTACTTAAATTCTTGACCATTAGCACAAAGGCTCCTGGCATTCCATTGTAAAATATTTAACATACTAACCAACCCCTAAATCCTGACTTGACTGAGATTCTGTATTAAGGTTTTTCATTATATCTTCACATTTCAATCCCTTAATATCTAGAAATCTCTCTGCCGCCTTCACTATTATTTGTAACTTTTCTGTTCTCCTTTCGTTTGCGCTGTACAATTAATTACCTCCACCATGAATAGCACAAAATTTCTCTTACTTACTAGCATTACATCTTCTGGTACTCTACCTTCCTCAATTCTTCCTGTACCTTCATTTATTTTTCCATGCTCCATTCTCTCAGTCTCACTTTGCCTATCTCTATCATTTACTACTTTCACAGCTTCAGCATAAGTTCGATTATTTTTTTACTTTTCTTGTTGTACTTCCACAGCCTTTTCCCTCACCTCACAACCTCCATATGCCGCATTGTGACTACCTCCACAGTTGCAACACTTTAATCCTACTCCTTCTCCGCACTTCCCAAATTCGTGCTCCCCTCTACATCGCGCACACCTCATTTTAGATTTACACACTGACGCAGTATGTCCATATCTCTGACAATTATAACACCTCAAAGGAGGGGCTATATACTTCCTAATCGGATAACTAATATAACCCATCTTAATCCGATCTGGCACTTCTTTTCCTTCCAATTTTAGACGTACTGACAAGCTCTCCATTCTTCTACCTTCTCTGTTCATTTGTAATCGGACTGCATCTATGACCTTTGCCCCCTCCAGATTCTTTTTTAATTCCTCCATAGTAACCATAGACAGTAAAAGAAATGGACAGAGCGATCTCATTGGAACTCAGTTGAGACAGTTGAAGCCCACTTTTAGCGATTTTTGAGAACTTCCGTTCCTGACGCGCAGACTCAGACCGACTAAAAATAAGCTTGATGACGTGAGCAACCTGTCTGACAGACGTGAATCTTCTAGTAGCTGTGCGTGAAAATTGCCAACGTTAATCTTGCAGAGACGGGGAACTTGAGCAAAGAGTCCTTTATCGTGAGTGAGCAGGAGTAAGTATTCCGTTGCTTTTATGGACTCATTATCTATGGGCTTCTCTCTTGACGGGACGTCCCCCCGATTGCCTGCGAGCTTCTCCTCCTGTCTGTACGGTAATTTCTGTACAGCGCGACAGAGAGTCGAGTGGTTATGACGCAATCGTTAGCCTATTTTTACTAAAACTGTTTCTACGGGGCCATAATGTAACATAGAAGGTAATGGAGCCATTTATACATTGTCGTGTTTCTTTAGAAATAAATAATGGACAAATGGAGTCTTTAAACGCCTCAGATGTAAAGTTATTCGCTGTCAAAGTGACGCCAAAATGAATGGTAGTCAATGGAAATGCTAACGCAAGTGAAGTTCTGCTACAAGATGGCGGCACCCGGCCGGCTTCAACTTCCGGTCGATGGATTACCCCCTTGATAGTAACTCCTAACGGAATTCCATTTATTACTCCATACACCCATGACTCCTGTCCTACAATCCTGTAATTCATTACCATCTGTTTCCCAACTGTCTTTATTTTTATGGCTTTATTTTTTTGCTCTTCATTCCTACATGCTATCATTAAAGCTCCATCTTGTAGCACTTTTGCAAAAGCTATCTCTCCTACCAGCTTTTTCAGTTCATATGTCAACGTCAATGGATTAACTCCTGAAACTCCTACCTCTCCTTTAAACTTCAATATTATCCTAAATTCACTCTTGCTATTACTTCGTTCCTCCCCATCTTCCTCACTTCCTGATCTTTCCTCCTTACCTTGTTTCCTCTTTTTATTAACCTTTTTTCCTGTTATGACATTTGTCCATCCTACCTCCATATCATCCTCCTCTTCACCTGTATCTTCCATTCCTAGAGTCTCTGATCCATTCCCAGTTCGATTTCCTCGATCCCTCTTATTCGTATTTTTTGACTTATTTGAATTGGCCGCCATGCACCCCCAATCTCCCAGTCGACTCCGAAGCGACGTGTCTCCGAATCCGCAAACTAGCGTTGTCCCGCCTTCCTCGCGCGCTACCTCGCCCTCATCCAGCCCAGACTCGTTCACGAGGCCGTGAATCCGATACTGATTTCCCTTTTCACGCGCTGCAACTGAAGCAAACACATGCAAATAGAGAAAAACGCGTGCAAATAGAAAAAAACACATGCAAATAGAAAAAAACACATGCAAATAGAAAAAAACGCGTGCAAATAGAAAAAAACACCAGCAAATAAAAAAAAACATCTTGCATCAGTTTCACAACACATGTGTGCTCCAAATCCAGAAACGCGCTGCAAAAGTTCACAACACAACCAAATACATAAACGCGCTGCAAATAACACAGACCACAACGGAAATGTTTCCAGGGGAACCAAATAAGTGACGAACCCGGCTGGGACGTGCTTACTGCTCGTGAGCGTCTCTGTGCCCTACTTCCTTCGAAGGGCAGACAGCAGAGCCCTTAAAGTGGGACTTTGGAGTGAGCAGGGCTCTAGTGTGCCATTATAGCCGTGTGGAACGCACTTGATGAAGGAGCAACTAAAGACAACGTAATTCCTCATTATTTTCACCTGGGATGTTCCCATGACAACGAAGCACGGCGTCCATCAGCTGAAGAGCTGGTCTTACGACAGAAATATAATGCTGTTAACATAACGGTTGCAAATACATTTGTATTTTTACTTTTTTTTAAATATGCGTTATATATCTGTGTGTCTCAACTTTAAAATTTTGGACCACATTACCTAACATTTCTTACGAAACTTTTCTTTATGAAAATGTAATAACATGAAACAATTTGT